CCCCAAAACCCCAAAACCCCAAAACCCCGCATTGCAAATTTATAATTGAGGCTGTTTTAGGTTGTTATATAATAAGACGAAATTAGTATCAACGGTCTTATTATATGGCTCTAAAATGTTCACATGCCTCATTAATAGTGTATAAACATTACCTTCCTTGAAGTTTTTCATCTTCCTCATTGGCAGAGTGGACTCCAACATTGACCGCTATTTTTTAATATAGCAGTATTATCGCACAAATTATATCACTGAATACAATTGCCAAACTTCCTAATAACGATGCAGAGATTACCCTCTCTCCTATCTCTCTCCCCAGACCTCTCCTAATCCACTGCTCATTCCTTCTAAACCCCTCCTAGGATCTTGGCTTCTCCGAATTTTGTTCGTTCCATGCTGCATTTTTAGTCAGGAAATTTTACGTTTTGGTAAGGGAGGGATTTTCAGGGTTTTTATGAATTTTGAAAATTTTTTGGAGATTTTGAGGCTGGATGGGGAGATTTAGAGGAAGGGAAATTGGGGTAAGGGTGATTAGAGATTTTAGGGTTAAATGGGGATTTAGGGGCTATAGAGGGGGTTTTGAGGTTAGGGTAATGTTGAGTTAGGTATAGAGGTAATAATTGGCCGGTGGTCGCTTGAATTCAGTAATAAATGTGCTTATATTAAACAAACTTGTAGATAGCACAGTCTTGGAATATTGAGAGTTCTAGCAAATTTCTTACAATAAATCATTTCATCTTTTTGGTTGCCTTCCTTAATATTATAGTTTTAATGCTCTTTTCAGATTACTGAATTTTTTATACATATAAATATCATATAAAGACATGACTAAAGGAAAGAATGAGAATTAGGACTAGCCAACTTTTCTAGAAATAATCCTCAAATTATGCTCAAAATATGAGCGAAATTTCAGCTCTTTGCCATGCTCATTATTTCTGACGGTTCTTAAATTACCTCCTTGCTGTCAAACGTATTTCATTATTAGATAAAGCAGGGTTATATTAGAAATGTTTTATTACAATGTCCGAGTGAATTATGCAACTAAAGTTGCATATTTCTTCCGCCCCTAATGCAAATTCAAAAAGATTTACGTTTGAAAATCGATTTACACTTATTAATATTTCTTTATCATAATCGAAAAGTTAAAGTTTCAGAATCGAGCCCATAATGTAGTAGCCTTAGACCCTCTTGTTTATCTTATATATTAGTTGTAAACTAAGAGGTTAGACTTTGGAAAGACCACTGAAAGTGCTATAATTTCAACCAACTCTACCTTTTTGCATTTTAAATGATTCCTCCATTGAGGTAGAATAAAATCTATCTCAAAAATACAACATATCATTTAAACTTCATATAAATTCATGATTTGAAATTTTGACAATATCCTCAAATTTTACAGTTCTTAAATCTCCAAATATTAATTTATTTATTTGATTTCATCCAGATTAGGTTAATGAAGATATTTCACCTTTGAACACTGGAAAGAGTATTTTGGTAGCTGTTAATTGCTAGACCAGGAATAATGATGTTGCTAATTAGACTCAATTTCTTCAGCATTAATGCTGCTAAAGTCCCAAAACTCGAACATACGGTTGCATAAATGATTCTTATTGTATAAAATATAGTTTAAAATAAGCCAGGTTATGATTCAGGTTGTTATAATTAAAAAAAGGACTCTTATTTAATCTCAGAAAAAATAAACCAGGATATGTATAATATATTTTAGGAAAAAATTATTTGTGTATCTTTCCTTGAACTCATACTGAGCTTCGAGATAACTTATTCCAAGCCAAAGTTTAGGATCCCTAATCTTTGAACTGTGGAGGTTTAGCAATAAACACGTTTGCTGTATCTTCTGTTTTTTGTAGATCCCCCATTGTCAATAGATAATTGTCATATTGCTGGAATGGGCTTGCCTTCTTATCTTCTACAGGGGATATTCTCCTTCTTGGATTAATAGATTCTGCAGTGTTTTGCTTATCTCTCTTCTTGCGGATTAGTAGCTGTAGAAGACTACTAATGTCAGACTTCAAGTTGGTGGATGATTTCTCAGCAAGGTCATCATTTGATCTGAAGAAAGCGGAATCTTTTCGATTCTGTTTTTGCTGATATTCAGCAGATTTTGACATTTTATGCAAGTCTTCAAGTTTTTGCCCATATGCTATTTCACGTCTAGAATTATATTTTTGATAAACTGCTCTTTTTAACTTGCAAAACTTGCTTTTAGGCTTACTTATAGTGGGCCTACGTTGACGTAAAACTTGGGGAGATGACTCAGAGAGGACATCATCACTAATGTCACAATCCTCTAGTGACTCAGAGAGGCTCCTTTGATCTATCTCTGCAAATTCTTTGGCAGGGATTATATTGGTGAGATTCATTTTAAATATTTTATTAGTATATTAACTCCTTGGCTTATATCACGGGGTTTTGGGGTTTTGGGGTTTTGGGGTTTGGGG